CTAAAGATTTAAATTTGTCTCAGTGGAATAATTTATAAACTTGAAGGTTAATATATATATGTTCTTTCCAGACTCCTGTCCCCTTCCAGTTCTCTTTCTTGTGACTGTTTTCTAAAAGACAAACTTGGCAGTTCTGCTCTTCATTTAGAGTTAGTTACATTTGCTTTAGATACTTACCTTCTAACTTTATTTCCTACTGAGTTTATTAGTGAGGGTTATAAACATGGAGATTTGTTTCTAATAATATATTTTACATAATACGTTCATATACTAAATCTCTGTATTGTTAATGCTTTGACATTAAAATTAATATATGAAGAACATAATCATGTATATTTTAGAAAATATATTATTTTCATATCAAGCTTAATAATGGCATACCTCTATCCATTAAACACAATGCAGATTTCACTAAGCTGTGTTCTTTTTATTTTTTCTTAGAACACCTTGCTAAATAAGATAGCCTTGCCCTAGTTTAAGGGTTCCTCATCACTCCTTTTCATTTGTTAGCTGTCTCTCTAGTTAAAATCTAATGTGTTTGCAGTCAGAACCTATGTCATATTAATTCATGTGTCTGTATTCATCACATCAACTTTTGCAGTATAGTAAGACCTCAATTAATGGACCCTGAATTACATTCCAAAGACATTAGCTCATTGAAACCTTAGAGACAGAATCCCCCTTTTGGACACATTTGCATCTTAATTGGTTGAAAGAAGACACAAATTCCTTTAACAAAGAAGCTTTAACACAGGTTTCCTACTCATCTTGAAACAAGCTCCCAGTAATCCAAGATCACTGATTCTCTTGACTACCTTAGAGCTAGTCACATTTAAGGAACACAGTATTGGTTCGGGTGATGTGATTGAATCATATACATGTATCACCATAATACTCTTTCTGGGAAAGATGACATTGATGACCCACCTTGACCTAGAATGCATCTGAAAGTTTATGCTTTAGTCAGTAATGATGATGGCTCCTCATTGATTTATTCATTCACTTTCATCGATCCCACTGGCCATTAGTGAAGAAAAAGTTAAAAGCGCCAGGATTTTCAACTGTGTGCTTGGAAGTTTGTGAAACAGATTTATCTTCCCTTGCTACCTAAGCTATTCACAATCTACAGGAGTCAAACATCAAAGTGAAAAATACAGATGTATAAACTTTCTCTGTGGTAAAATAAAGAGTAAGTAAGCACACAGATGAAATGGTAAGTTCATTTCCACTACCTGTTTCAAGAAACTAACATGTTTTTAGCAATATTTTTCAATCTACTGTTTATAAAAGTTAAAATAAAAATAACCACAGCATACTATTTCTATATAAGAAACTTATGCTGTATGAGTGAATATTGAGTAACAAAATTGTGCAAACTGTGAAATAGATAAGGTTGACCAGTAATCATATAATTTTTAAATGTTTCTCAAGCTTTAACCAGAAAGCTACAGAGTGGCAGAATGAACGGTTATTTCAAGTCTGGTAGTTCAAAGGCTCTCTTTTGAGAGGCTCTGAACCAGCACAGACCTTTGTTTTATTCAAGGTCATGTTTTCTTTGATACTAAAACTGACTTATCCCTTACTGCCGTTCTCACATAAAACATCGAGGGGCTTGCTTTTATGTCATGGAAAGGAACAGCATGGAGATGGAAGAACAGGACTCTAATTCTCAATCTATTAGTTACTTAGGAACCTTGGGCAAGTCATTAGTAAAATGCTGGAAATGGAATGTCTTCTGAATTCTCTAATTGGGATCTCAGTTCTGATTCATCAATTTGCAATGAAATGAATATAGGTGTATTTCAAACCACCAAATGTCACATCACAGAATTTAAATGCTTTTATTGACTGGTTTTTTGGTTGATTTTCAGTCAGCAGCTCCCTATGCAGCCCAGTCTAACCTTGAATGCACACCCTCCCAAGTGCTAGAATTACAGGACTGTCCCAGGAGATGCAGCAAAATTCTTCTTTCTGTAGGTATCTTAATTGCACATTCCAGTTCTGTGAGAATATCACTTTAATAAAATTGTTGTGAAGCTTTAGTTGAATCATTATGCTAGTTTTGAAACAATCACATTTTACTATGAGAATGCTTGTTGCTAAATATTTCTTTATAGACTGACAATTGAAAGAAAATCATAATGAATATTTGCATAATGATTTGATATTCATGAAATTATTTAGAGGCTTTTTGAATTCAAAGAATTCGTATGTTATACATACTCTTAGTGAATTCATAAACAATAATGTAAATGTACATAAAATTGAAGATGTCCAGCAATTTAAATAAAAAATGTGAAATGAGAGGTGAGAAATTATTAAAATATGAAAATATTTTATGAGGTTATTCTTTGATTAAGCCATTTTATCATGAAACACTAAGCCATTTAGCTCCCTAATATTGCAAATTTAGGTATGAGCTTGTCTGCTAATACTTCAAAGTTTTGGTTTTAAATTTACTTGGAATTTTCTTTAAGTTCAATTAGATATTTAGATTATAGGACTGTGCCTTTGCCGCTCACATTTAGTGAGTGAAATCAAAGAACTACTTCATAAGAAAAAAAGTGTATTTTTATTCCCAAAATTAAGGTGGTGTATCTAAAACTTCAAGTTGGAAAAAGTGTTACTTCAAACAGAAAATAGTAAGAATTTGTTCATTTACCTCCACTCCATTAAAGAATTTTAACCACCATGCAAGGATTTCCCATTGCCCTTTATATCTCCCTTCTTACTGCTTCCTGTTCCTCAGGAGTTGTTTCTCTCTTCACTATACACACTCGGCAATGTTGATTCACAAGGAATATTCAAATAATGACAACTTGTTGATGGAATACTTTATATCATTGCCACAATTTTTAATCTCTCTTTTCCAGGACAAATATTAAATTTAGACTTATCCTTTTGGAGGTGTGTCAAGCCAATATTGGCATGGCTGTCTCCCCTGATGTGCTAGTTGATTGTTTTGTATATTCTTACCAATAACAATAGCAATAAATCCAAGAAAATGTTGAGATCTAGATTATAAGAATTCATAACAGAAATTTGTGCCATATATTATGGAAAATTAATTTGCATATTCATAGGTAATTCTGAGACATTTTGGTATTGTGACATTAATTGGAATTATGTTAGAATGCACTGCCTTGAACTTATCGTTAACACAAAAAGCCATCAGTGAATATTGCTCCTTGCGTTGCTTTTTGCTCAGCTGTGATGTGCCTTTTCAGTATAGATATTATTGATGGATATGCTGTCCAAACGAATCACTCCACTGATAAAGAAAAGGTAAGTATCTTTAGGGGGAAATACTAAATAAAGAAATGATCCCTTGATTTAGCTTCTAATTCAAGTATTGTCCATAAAGCATGTTGCATGTGAACATTTGCAGCAAAATTCCAAGTTTAAATGTGTACTTTAGAAGATTCTTCTTGGTTCAACACTAATTGTGATAAATAAATTTCCAAATTTGAAAAACTAACAGTAAAGTTACTATCCTTGACCCTCATCACTTTCATGCAGCTGTCCACATTCAGTTAAAACATTTGCTACTATGTTTCTGCTCATGCGTCTACAAGACAAGGGAGGGCTAACCTTAGACATGGTGTCAGTTAAAACAAAAATGAAATAAAAATGCCTGACTTTGGGAGAAGGTATGATTTTAAGGCAATCTTCACAAACAAATTCTTCAGATAACTGTAAACTTTCCCTTCTCCATTCTTGTATACAGAGGCTTGCCTCTTCAAGTGGAGGAACATCACACATTGTGTCTATCAACTGCAAGGGCAAAAATGTCAATTTCTTAGTCCCCTGAAATGACTTGCAGTAATACCAAGAAAATTTATATTCACACACTATATACTCAAATGAAGCACCTTTCAAAGTTTCTAATATTTCTTTTGAATACTCTGAACTATATTCTTGAAGTATTAACCATGTTAATTAGGGAGGTTTGTGCAGTAAGAGGCCCAGGCAAAATTAATGTTTTCACAAGTTCTTTAAATATAAAGCATATGCTGTGTGGGGGCTTATTTCAAGATTTAAGTACACAGGACTCTTGAATACAAATAATATTTAAATTACCTCTGTTCTTGCTCATGAGTACCCTCAACCCTCTTGGTCCGATTCATTTATTAAACAAAACTGCCTGTTTCCTCTCAAACAAAACCCAAGTACTGAAACCTAAACAGGGCTTCAGAAGAAAGGGCTGCTTGCCCTCAGAAACTATTACAGAATTCCATCTGGAAGGTAAGAGGCTACATCACACCTGAAGTACAGAGTGCAGTTCCTGGTATAGCGTTTCCTAATCCTTCTACAGCCCTCTCAGCCACTAAAACTTAAAGAAAAATAAGAGATTTGGCTTAGTACAATTTGATTTAAAAAGAAAAAAAGAGTCTAAACATTAAGTTTGGTGGTCCTGGATTCTCCAAGAAAAAGCTACCTAACTTCAATGGTGTCGCTGAAGGACAGTAACAGCTGGGTTAGGTTAGGTACTCAGCTCTAAACCTTAAGGAAGAAGGGTTTCTGAGGAGCAGGTAAAATAAGGGGCGTTCCCTGCGCTCAGCCAACAAGCCTACATGGGAGTAGAATGAATCTAAGCAGTGTAAATAGTTGTGGGCATCGAAACAATTGACGAAAAGTTTAGTACCTTATTTTGTTGTTGTCGGGGTTGGTTTTTTATTTTTATTTTTTCAAGCTTGGTTATTTCCCAAAGAGCCCAGGAACAGAGAAGCACTATAGAGAAGCCAGGATCACTGGCTGTCAGAGTCGCTCTTCTGAGGTGACGATCAAAAAGCCAGAGAGGTGGCATCATGTGGAGGAAATGAGGTCAGAATTCCCTAAGACTGTTCACTCAGGGAAGTAACAGGACTCAGGACAGGGAGCTCAGGAGCCAGGCACAGGAGAGAAAGCAGGTCAGGAGGGCACTTGCCAGGAAGGCTGTGTCCTCAAGAGAGCAGGGAGAGGTGGCACGTGGGGGCATCTGTCTGCGCGCGGGCAGAAGGGGGGTATTCGGAAAGCAAGGGTAGCGATGACCGCTTTTGGAGTGAGGCAGGTCGCGGCCATCCACCGCTGCTGTGACTCACCCAGACAGCCCGGGGACTGGAAGGTGACTGGGGACCAGGAGCTGCCGGCGGCTTATCCCTGCGATAGAGGGTCCGGGTGGCCGGCAATCGGACTCGAAATCAAACGTCCCCTAGGGGCCACGGCGCCAGACCCGCCGGGGACCCTCAGCCCGGAGCGATCCCAGCAGGTGGTTGGGGGCCCTTCCCATCTAACGATGTCCCGTGGGCGCCGAGTCCTGTGCCTGACCCCAGAGCTCTCCGGTACTCACCGATCCCAGCCGGCGAAAGCGCCATCCGGGGCGCGAAGGCTGTTCAGCGCAGGCGGGGCCGGGGCCGGCAGCGGCGGCGCTGTCCTGGAAGCACAGCTAGAGTCGAGGGACCGCCACGCGGTGAGAGCGGCGGCCGGGGCGCAGGACGCGGAGGGTGAGGAGAGCGGAGGCTCCGGAGCTGCAGAGCCCGGCGCGCTCGCTGCCCATCTCCGCGGCGGCAGAGGCTGCTGCCGCCCAGAGCTGGAAGGCGAGGGGGAGGGGAGCAGGCACGCGGCAGGGAGGGAGGGCAGAGGAAGCAGGCAGGGATGCGCGAGGGAAGAGGAGGATGATCGCCCGGAGTTGGGAAGAGGAGGGAGGAGCGTGCGGCCCCGCAGAGGTTCCCACCGGATGAGCTCCGGGATGAGGCGGTGGGGCTCACTGCAGCCACCCACCGCCTCTGCTTGTCCCTTCGCGCTCTTTCTCTGGGCTCTTCCTGGAATGGCTCCGGCTGGGAGTTACCCACGCTTGGCGGCGGCGGCAGCTTCACTAAGCTGATGACAATGCTGAGCTGGAAGGCAGCGGCGACAGCTCTCCCCGCCACAGGCCCGTGGCACCTGTGCGCGCACGCATCGCCCTGCGCTCCAAGGCCGCGGCTCAGCCGAGGCTCAGCTCAGGCTTTCACCCTCCCTCGCTCTCTTTTGCGGTCAGATCTTATGCGCACCGACATCTCCGGAGTTCCACAATGCCGTTTGTCCCCCTGGGCTCTGTTTGGCACCGGCTGTCCGGCCAGAAGGCGCCAGAAGGGAGCTCAATGCCTGCAATCTTCACCTGCCCCTTGGAGCTGCTGTCTGGGCAGGCATGGAGGTGTCTGTTCCCTGCTGAGGTTGACCAGCGAAAGAGGAAACAAAAACGGAAACCAGAAAAGCTTTGGGCTCGGTTATCTCAGACCGCGTTTCTGTGACCTGGGAGGGCTGTAAGTGTGAAGGGCAGAGTCACGGTCCATTACCTTCTGTCTTGGTTCTCTTCTTTGTCCAACATCACAAATTTTTTAAAAACTATAAAAATAAAAATAAAAAACCGACACGACTTAGCAGTTTGGGTCTAAATATTTCCAGATCCCTTCACTGCACAGTTTCATTACCCTCCTCGCGGCATTTTCCAGCTCGGCCCGACTTTGCTATTGTGAATTTTTATTTGTGCTCTATTGGGCTGAAAAATCAATCCTGCATATTTATTCGCAAACTTTAAAGACTCAAATACAAATAGGAACTCTGTTTAGTGCCTCCTGCTGCACTCCCAGGATTCAGGGAATGAATTCACACATTCAGTAAATATAAATACAATCGGAGTATTATTGACTGATTTCTATGAACCATGATTTTGTTTCATATTTGGGGGGGGTGGCAGTAAGCAGGGAGCAAATGGATTCTGTGTGTTAAGGATAGCACTGGAAAAAGAAGTCTAGTAAAACTCCTCAGATATAAGCAAAGTGATAGCTGTATTCCTCAGAGCCTTAAAGCAAAGAGGTTGTGATTTTGTTTGCATGTCTGTATGTGTGTGTGCACCAAGCATGTGTGAGAGTTGCTTTTTAAAAAATGTAGCAATCTTTCATTTGCTGAAGAGTCAATGTTAGGAAAGCCTGAAAGAGCTTAGACTCCAGAAGAAATACTTCAGGCATTTTATTTTACATAATTATGTCTTACATAACAAATGTCCTCAAAATTAACATAAATTCACTCTCAATTGTAAATGCAGTGTGGAAAAAAATTAATGCAAAAGGTAACCAAATGATAACTCAAAATTAACATAAATTCACTCTCAATTGTAAATGCAGTGTGGAAAAAAATTAATGCAAAAGGTAACCCCAAATGATAATGAAAATTCTCTTTATCTTTCTGTATATTTTACAGGAGGAATAAAATGTAAAAATTAGTCATAAAGGGGAATTTGATAGTCTGGAAGTTCCAGACCTGTTAGAACCTTCCCTGTTGAGTATATATGGCACAGAAACTATTTGGTTTCACATTCCCTAATGATGAGAATCAACAAACCATCTCAGTAAAGGCACAACAGACCTTAAAGTGATCCAGTAACTTCAAAAGGCATATGCAGCTTTGTTAGGAAGTTCCATGCATCAGGCAGGTCACCCAGGGCTAATCAATCAGAGAACATGACAAAACAAAAGATGCTGGTGAAGTCCGACACCTCCCCCAGCACGCCTACGTCCTTATTACTGGTGAGCAGAAAATATTCAAAAGTTACTGACTGCTTAAGCAGGAATGGTTATTGATAATTCATTAAAACTCAGACTTTCTCACGCTAGAATAGGATATACCTAATTCTTTTCTTTCTTAACATAACATTTTTATTGAGAATTTCATACATGCATAAATATTTCGATCATACTAAACCCTACTCCTCCCCTAACTCCTCCCAGATCCATCTCTACATACCCTCCACCCAGCTTCCTATCTTCTGTTTTGTTGTTTGATTGTTTACATAACCAAAGGACTCCAATCTGTACTGCCCATAAATTTGCTGGTATGGGTCATCCACTGGGGCATGGTTGACCTACTAAAGGCCACACACTGAAAGAAATTGACTCCCCCCAAGCAGATAGAGACTATCACTAGCTTCCCAGCTGAGGTTGGGGTCTTGTGAGCCCCTCCCTCCTCTCTGCTTCTGTGCTCACTAGCTTGATCTTGTGCAGGTCTTACACAAGCAACCACAGCTGCTGAGTTCGTGAGTCATGTTGAGAAAACAGTTTCTCCAGGTCTTCCCCAACCTCTGGCTCAGTCATAAATGGAACATCTATGTCACACCTCATCCTTCTCTTAATAAGGTTATTTGCCTTTGAGAACTTTCATTATTGTCTCCTCATATTTGGTTCATGAATCTTTACTAACATTACCTGAGTAGTCTTATTATATGGCTGTGAAATGGTAAAGAGAAGAATGCAACCTAAAATTCCTTAAAGCTGAGCAAAGAGAAAGGATGGCATTAAGCGCACAGCAAAACAAGCTTCCAAAGCCTCACCATGAATAATTTCCCCAGCCATGTGCCCTCCAGAGACTAGAAAAGGTGGATGAAAAGAGAAAGGGCACTCTCATTCTACTGCTAGTGGACTTAGATTTCAATTTGGATTCTGGTTGTATAAAAGGTTTCTGTCACCTCTGCTATGGCATTTCCTCTCTGTTATTCTCCTTTTCCCTCTGCATGTCTATTTACTTATAAATGTACCATGCATTACAGTAAGAGAAAGCAAACTAAATGAATTACTAAAGTTCAAGCTTTTTCTATATTTGACACTTTGAATTTTCTTAGTTGAATACAAACTCTCCTTTGAAATTTTCTGAAATCTGAAAGTCTCAGCAGCCTATCTAAGAACAATTACTGTACAGTTGGTAGGTAGTATTGAGTACAGGAGAATCAGAACACATATTGAATAGCACAGATATTGAGTGAGCACTCAATGTGGTCAATTACTAGGTGAAGCCAATCTTGTAATGCTCCTGGTCCAACAGTCCAGTAAAAGTAATTTAATTAAAAAGA